GAGGAAAGGAGAGGGAGAGAGAATCATTGATTGGCTGTCTCCTACACGACCCCCCACTGGGGATCAAGCCTGCAACCTGGGCATGTGCCCTTGATAGGAATCGAACCCAGACCCTTTAGCCCGCATGCTGACGTTCTGTCCACTGAGCCAAACCAGCTAGGGTGAGCCCATTTTTTGAGAGAACCCCTTAAATGCAGTAATACTTTACATTTGTGACGCTGCAATGCACAGCATTTCTCCATCCACTACATTTGTAGCTCTCACAGTCATCCTGTATGGCTATGTGCCTCTCCCAAGGTCACACAGGCTGTGAGTCTCAGAGCCAGAACTTGACTCAACTAGTAGCAAAGCTGCTGGAAAAGTGGTAGCATGAGTTTGTTTCCCTCTAGATTAAGCTCTGGCAAGGGGGAGGAGGAAGACCTTGAAGTCAGTGTTGAAATGACCCTGCAAGATGAAATCCAGCGGGTGACAAACATCAAAACATCTGCCAAAATCAAGTGAGTACGCGTGCAGTGTGTGAAGTATCTGAGGAGTTCCTGCGGTGTTGTAGGAACAGCGAGCAGCAGCCTTGTATTGACTTGGTTACGCAATTTGTGAGCGGCCTGTACAAATTGTGTATTTGGAGACAGTGATCGTGGGATGCCTGTGTCACACTCAGCTCCCGCTCCCTCATAGTGGGCACACTTACTCGTCATGTCATTTTAGTTTTACCTTTTACCTATTTGAGTACTATTCTTTCCTGCTGCCAATTTAAAAGAAAAATGTATTCCTCCTATGCCGAAAGGATTTGAGGTCACTTACAAAAGATACACAAGAACAACATATATGCCAGGTCCAGTGATTAAGCCCAGATTTCTTAAAAGCTTATACTCAACTAGTATCCAATACTCAGAGTTCTCTTACATGTAAAATTCTTTACACTTGTTCACACTCGTATAGATTGAGGACGCTGCAAAGCCTTTGTCCTAGAAAAAGTTAACTGGGAGCTGAGACGTTTATGAATATTTCCACATGCAGATCCTTTGACCTGATCCTCTCACCTCAAGGGGAGTTAAAGGCTGTCTTCCTGCTGCAGAACAACTTGGTGGAATTATATTCACTGAACCCATCAGCGCCTGCACCTCAGCCTGTGAGGACGAGCAGGGTCACCCTCGGGGGCCATCGCAGTGACGTGCGGACTTTGTCCTTCAGCTCGGACAATATCGCTGTCCTTTCCGCGGCAGCCGACTCCATTAAGATTTGGAACAGGTTTGTGAAATGATCTTTCGGTAGCTTTATCCAGCAGTGTTTTCTTCCCTTTGAATAATTCTTAATGCTCTTCATGGTTAGTTATTAGTTTCTTAAAGCCTTAAAGACAGTTCCATCCAAATGTATCTTCAGTGTTTTTTGAGCGTATATCTGTGGGGTTTAGGAAAAGTTGCCTTTTTGTTCCATGCAAAAAAAATTCAAACTTGTTCCATGTATGAAAGCTACAAGCTTCATGCTGGAGAGAAACAAACATACTGCCTACTTCTTAAATTCAGATAGGCTCTTCGTGCTGTCCAGTAATGCCACTTTACTGCTTCACTCCTCACTTTGCTGGGTGACTCGCACCTTTTCTCAAGCACCTTTAAGCTGGTGATCTTGCTTCCTACTTCACTGGAAAAGTGGAAACTTCTAGAAAACGTTCATATGCCCCCATTACACCTGCCACACTCAGAACGTCTTCATCTTATCCAGGTTTCTGCCCTTCCTCACAGTGCTGTGTTAGGGCTTCTAACAAAATTAATCATTTGTGTGTGAGAGTGTTTCTCATCTCCTTTCTCGCAGATTTCCTCCTGCATCATCAGTTTCCCTTTCCATCGGCCATTCCATCAGCATACAGATGGGCTGTACTATCTCCCACCTTAAAAGAAGCAATAACCCTGTCTCATGCTCCTCTCTCCGTTCAGCTCCCCATCTGCTTGCTCGTCTCCGTGCTGTCTGCATCTGTCTCCATGAGGCTTTACCCCCACCGTGCCGCCAAAACCGCTCTTGTCACCACATCAGAGATCTTGTTTCTAAACCCAGCAACCTGTGAGCTGCATTTGACACTCTCTCTCTGAATTGATCACTTTCTCTTTGAAACACTTTCTTTGATTTTTATTACTTTCTCTTCTGGCTGTTTTTTGTTAGTCTTTTCTGGATCCTTCTTACCTTTCGTGTTGGAATGCTTCACAGGGGAGTCCTTGGAACTTTTCTGTGTCCACTCACTCTATGTGACCTCTAGTCACACCTTTCTCTGTGCTGGTGACACAGAAGGTTATATCTCTAGCCTTAGCCTCTCCCTCCCCATCAGGCCCATTTATCCAAATGCTTTGTTTGTGTCACCACTTGGATGTCTAGTAAGCTCAAATTTTTATATATCCCGAACCAGACTTGTGATCTTCATTTCTTCAACAATTTTCCCACCCGCTTCTTAGAGACTTCCCCATCTTAGTACATAATTATTTCCTTCCAGTTGTTCTGGCCCCAAATCCTTGCGGACATTCTTGATTCTCTCTCATAACCCATGTCCAGTTCATTAGCTAATTCTTTACCTTCAAAATGTACCCAAATCCAGCCACCTCATCACCTGCCCTGCCTGCACCCGATTCACACCATCATCTCTCCTCTGGACTGTTGAAATAGCTTCCTGACTGGTCCCCCCCATAGTCCATTCTCAACACAGCAGCCACGGCAGTCTGTGTGGGAGTTATGTCACTTCCAGTAGCTCCATCTCACTCCAACTTGAAACCAAAGCCCTTCCAGACCTCATCTCTCACTGCTGCCCGTCTGCTCCCCTGGAGCCTCACTGGCTTTTTTGTTCTCCCTTCAACACAAGAACATGCCTGTGTCATGGCTTCTGTGCTCCCTGTTCTTTCTGCCTGGGACCACCTTCCCCTTTCTACACCTTCTCATCAAAGGGCAGTCCTGCTACCCTCCCCCACCCTTGCACTCTGCACACATACAGGCCCCCCACCCCCAGCTTTGTGTTTCTCCATTGCACCTGCTACCACCTGTACCAGGTAGACCAACATTTATCTGTCTCATTCCTAAAGAATGCTAAGCTTTATGAGATCCTGGTGCTCAGTAAATGTTTGATGGATGAAATGGGCACTTGATATATATTTGT